TCTTGTGTTTTTTTTTTTTTTTTTTTTTTTTCTGAATGGTATTGTGTAGTCATTTCTCCCATGACCATTCATTGAAATGGTTGTTTCTATGGTTACGATGTTATTTCTAGTCAGAATCCTGTTGAGGAGAAACCTTGATTTGGTATCCCAGTAAGTCAAGATTCCCTTGACATGCTATTAAGATACAGATGGATTTTCACAAATCAACTTCCTTCCTTATTCAACAAATTAGTTGACTAGGTAGATTAGAAGACATATTTAAGGCTCAACTCCAGAGTTCTGAAAAATGACACTGTAAGAACTGGACAACATGAATTACCAGTACATTTGCTCAGTAGCGATGGTGCCAGTAAAATCAAGCCAAATTTACTTTGCTTCTCACCAATAGAACCTGGCATCCTAATTGTCATCATGACCTCACGTTTATATCCAACCATGCTGAGGATCCCATAGGCTGCCAATCCTTCTGTTCTACTTTAGGGGTATGAATAAAATGGCAGACATGTATCCCTCTACAGCCTGATTCGTGAGTTCACCCCATAGGACACATGAAGTATAACCTTTGACATTCGATAAGTGCATGGCCGTGTTGGCATAGCATAGGAACTAACATACAGCACAGATACATGCCTTGGTTCCCTAAGCTCAATTTTTTTTTCTGTTGTATTTTATAATTTCTAATCTACTTTCATTTATTGTATACCTTTGTGGGGTACAACATGGGTTTTCAAAGCACGCATGTGGGTGTGATATCAAATAAAAGATAATGCCATATCCGTAACAAAGTATACTACATTGTAGACACACACACATACACATTCACAACTGGAAATGTCTGTTTATTCACTCAGTTGTAGTATGCCATTCCACAACCTATTTGCCATATCTAGCTACACTGCTATGTTTTTTGTTCTATTATACACTTTTTTCTCTCTGATCCTCCCAGCTTTCTCTATAAATCCTTTTTGGTCTCTGGTAGAATCTTCTGTATTTGACCACTGTGTATCAAATGAGAGGATTTTATTGTTCTATCTGGCTGAGTAGTATTTCATCATGTATATGTGTCAGACTTTTACAATGTAGTCATCAATTGTTGGACATTTAGGTTGATTCCATATCTTAGCTATTGTCAATAATGCTGCAGTAAATAAGGATGTGCAATTGTCTTTCTGGCTGAGTTCCTGTCCTTTAGGTAAATATTCAGGTAATACATATTTGAGGAACTTCCATATTATGTCTCTTGATGACTGCATCAATATACATTCCTACTCACAGTATAGAAAGTTTCCCTTTTCACCACACATTTGCCAACACTTGTTGTTCTTTGATTTTTTTTCTTTACTTTCTTTCTTTTTTTTCTTTTTTTTTTTTTTTTTTTTTTTGAACATAGCCTTTATGACTAAGGTTAGGTGATACCTCATTGTGGTTTTGATTTATATTTCCCTTATGATAAGAGATATTGAGCTTTTTATTCCCCATATAGTTTTTGGTTATTCATGTGTCTTTCTTTGAGAACTGTCTGTTTGATCATTTGCCCATTTTTAAATTATATCATTAGTTTTTCTCTAGGTAAACCACTTGAGTTCACTATATGGTCTGATTATTAATCACTTATCTGAAGTATAGCTTCCAAATATTTTTTCTCATACTGTGGGTTATTTATCATTTCCTTTGTTGGGTAGAAGCTTTTTAACATGATGTGATCTTACTTGTCTATGTTTAGAGTTGTCGCCTGCATTTTAGGAGTCTTGTTTAAGAAATCTTTGTCTACTCCAATGTACAAGTATTTCCTCTGTGTTTTCTGGGTGGGTGGTGGGTGGGGAGTAAACTAGTTTATTTGTAAATTTACTCAACATATATAATTGATCCTAAAACTTCAATAGAAGGATAAATTTTAAAACAACTTGGAAGGCCATCTCTATAAAAAGTGGTTTTCTCAGATCAGTATCCATATGTAACTTAACCCAATACCATCTCAGTCGACAGAAGTCCAATATGCTGGAGCTATGCTCCTTCTCCACAGTAAGTTTATGCTAAGGGTAGTTATAATACAAACTCCACAAGGAAAGAATTTAGGCATTGTATCCTCTTATTAGAAGAGGGAAAGTAACTCAACCTAGTTATGAGAACAACCATAACACAAGGAAAAGCTGCACTAACCAGTTCAGAATATCAGTAACAAATGATGCTTGTGTATGTGAATAACTCACTTTTAATTCTAGAGCCCTTATGTAAATAAAATTCCTCAGTTAGTGTTTGCATTATAAGCTAGAGGGTTAGTTAATACATGGTAGAATGAGGACTTTTACAAGGTATATAACGTGCATGGCATTTTACTGAAAACAAGTGCAGGCTAGTTAGGAGAAACAACTGGACTCTAAATGACACATACCTTAATGACAAGACTCCTCACCACTTGTGAATGCAAAACACTTCATTTAAAAATGTTGGCACTGTAATATGTAAAATAGCTATTATAAATGCACATAGTGTATTCTATAGCTGCCAGGTTTACTTTTTTTTTTCTTTTTTTTTAGGAAACTGTAAGTTACACTGTGGTTAAGACTTGTATCTTCACCCTTGAAAAGCCCACATTCTATCACAGTGATGTATGGTCAGACTTAACAGCCCCAATTGTTAAACACTTGGATCAAGTCATAACCAGTTTTATTGCAAAAGGACCCTGTACACATTTATCAATTCTAGTACCTTAATAGCTACCCAACAAGTCATTAACATACAGAAACATGCATCATGAGAAGCAAGAAGTATCACCCATCCCTTCTGCATATTAGCAACTTGTCACTCCTGAGCAACAGTGCTCACATCACTGAGGTCTGTGAACAGTCACTTTTCGCATTCATCCTGAGTGAAAGATGGAATGACTTAAGTACAAATGCAACATATTATAAACAATTTCTTACAAAAAAAGTCACAAATTAAACCAAAGTATTTTACAGAATTTACTACAAAACGCCATAAAAACTGCCTTCACTTAAGCTCTCTCTCCCCGTATCCGGCGAGCCAACTGGATGTCTTTGGGCATGATGGTGACTCTCTTAGCGTGGATGGCACACAGATTAGTATCTTCAAACAAACCCACCAGGTACGCTTCACTAGCCTCCTGTTGAGGACAAGAGCCACACTATTAAAACTCCCTCCAGGGAGAGGCGGAACCACAGGCGCCCTCCTCCCGGCCGCCAGCCTTTGTCCCTTACCTGAAGCGCACCGATGGCGGCGCTCTGAAACCTCAAGTCGGTTTTGAAGTCCTGGGCGATCTCCCTCACCAACCTCTGGAAGGGCAGCTTCCGGATGAGCAGCTCGGTGGATTTCTGGTAACGACGAATCTCTCGAAGCGCTACGGTCCCGGGCCTGCGGCGAGCAGAGGGTAAGCGGACAGCGAGCGGCAGCGCGGGCAGAGCAGAGCGCGACCACACAAAGCGCCGCCGAGTCATTGTTTCCCTTCCGCTCCCTACCTGTAGCGGTGAGGTTTCTTCACCCCGCCAGTAGAGGGGGCGCTTTTCCTGGCCGCTTTGGTGGCCAGCTGTTTGCGCGGGGCTTTCCCGCCAGTGGATTTACGAGCAGTCTGCTTGGTTCGGGCCATTTTCTTTTACCTAAGAGAGACATCGCGGAAGATGAAGTGGCCGCGGCGCCCCGGCGCGCCAGCCCTCTTCGGTCGCCCCACTGGGGTGTGGGTGGGGGGCGGGACGGACCCCGCGCCCCTGCCCCTCCGCGCCAGCCGCCCTCTTAGCCCTCCCGCCTCTTCGCGCCCCACCTCGCTGCAGCAGATGGCCAGGGCCCCGCCGCCTCCTCCCCCTCCCCTAATGACTCAGGCTGCGAGCAGCAGCAGCCTCCCGGGGGGGCCGGGGAGGAGTCACTTCCCTCCCTCGACGGGCGGAGGCCGGGCTGCCCGGAACCCGAGTCGGGACCTCTGAATCACCACCAGGAAGGAGGTGGAGACACGGCTCCGGAACCCCCAAGGGGAAACCTCTGCAGGGCCCCGCCGCCTCCTCCCCCTCCCCTAATGACTCAGGCTGCGAGCAGCAGCAGCCTCCCGGGGGGGCCGGGGAGGAGTCACTTCCCTCCCTCGACGGGCGGAGGCCGGGCTGCCCGGAACCCGAGTCGGGACCTCTGAATCACCACCAGGAAGGAGGTGGAGACACGGCTCCGGAACCCCCAAGGGGAAACCTCTGGACCCCACGGCCGACGCCAGCGGCCTTAAGAGACCCCCCCCCCCGCAGACGACAGGCGCGTCCGGACCGCCA